TAGCCATTTGGATATATATATATATACATATATACATATATATATATATATATATATATATATGTATATATAGATCTTATTACTTCAGCTTTTCATGGAGTAGTTTATTTTTTTCAGTGTCAACCGGGTGCAATTACAAATGATCACTTTGATGTTTTGAGTTAAATAAAAAGAATAAAAGCCATGTAAGCTGTTTTAACTTAGGATAATTTGTTGCAAAAAGAATAGAGAAAACCCACAGTTATGAAAGCCCAAATAAAGGACACCAGGAGACATGAAGCAGACAATTATGAAATGATAAATCTTCTTAAAATTTTAGACACTAAATGCTTGTGATCTTGGCTTGGTCCTAAGTGATCTTGTTTGGTTTAGTCATTGTAGTCAGATTTGAATAATCCTGTCAAGGCCCAGATATAGGGCTTCTGGGACAGGATTTCATTTGAAGCCAGAGAATCCACATCCTCCAAACCATGATGGGCTGTAGAAGCCACATCTACAGCCTCCATAGCCAAAGCCCAGTCTGCGGAAGCTGCTGCATCCACAGCCATAGCCATGGCCCAGGCCACCAAAGCCACCAAATCCGTAGCCCAGGCCTCCGTAGTAGTTGCTGTAGTGGCTCGTGGTGTCAGGGGTGGTAAGTTTGGTTTGCTGTTCAAGGTGGGGTCCTGGGTGTGAATGTCAGCGTACCTGGAAGGATGCTTGTATACCCTGAGCAGAACATGTGATAAATCACGTGCATACCATTCCTTTATGTCATTCTGCATATTACCTATAATGTTATAACTCATTAATCTTCTGTGTCCTGACACGGAGAGAGACTCTCATTCTCATTAAAATATTTCAGGTTACTTAGCTTTCTAATGAGGATGTCCTTGAGCCTGTTGCTTTGCTTTTATGGGAAGAAATGGCTGACTCTTGAAAATCTGTACTTTCCAAACCCTAAACTGAATTGCTTATTACCAGGTATATTACATCATTTACATTTGATGGCATTCTCTTTAATTAAACGTTTCCTCTGTTCTGTCATCTTCTGAATGGATAACTCCATCTCCAACTAAATTCACAGATATTTGTTCTATTTACGGATGTTAAATCTTTACTTTTCAAAAAGCCAACTCATTTCTGAGGATGATGACTGAACAAAATGCCTCTACTCAGAATACATGAAAATCTTTTACGTTTAAAAAAAGGCGTGTGTTGGTCTTTAGCATTTTAATTATTAATAACCTTTGTAATATTTTTGGCTTTATACCTCAGCTTCATAAACTTTTGGTTGCAGAACTGAAATAATTAATTTCAGAAGTTGAAGGCACAAAATCCATCTCAAATTCAGGCTTATCAGAGTAGCAGTTCAATTTTCATTTCAAATCCTAAAACCCTCCCGCATAACTGGTTCTGTTCAAAGCCCTACTAAAATTGCAGATTGAATCTGCCTCTATTTTTTTGCACACACCGGCCTTTCTTCTTCTCTCTACCTTTCTTCAGTAATTCATGTATGACCTTTGTTTGCATTCTCATTTTAGCTTTCATTCGTCTTCCCTTCTTCTCAATCCCTAGGAGAAAGAACCAGGTAAAATTTTAAGGTTGACAATATTCCCCCCACCCCAGGCTCTCATACACTTATTCAAATAAGTACTTCTTTCTTTCTACCTCCTCTTCGCATCTACCACAATATCTTTTCCTTTGTTTATATGTCTATTCTGTACCCATTTATTCTCATGCGATTTCTAACCACTCCTTACTAATCTGTTAATAGTTCATTAAAGTCTCATTTTTAAAAACATATAACAACTCTTACGGCCATCTGAATGTTAAAAGAATATCTTAAGATTGAGGATATTTTCAAAGTTTTCAAAATGAAGACACAATGATGAAATGATAAAAACCAAGAAATATATGTGAAGACGTTTGGCTTGGACTTCATGGAGTCCCCTAACTGACTTCATTGAGTTAGTCAACTAGGTCCAAGGTTGACCCTATACTTGATTAATCTCCATGTAGCACCTGTCTTTTGAGTTGGGCCACTAAAAACTTATTTAATTTACATGATTTCAAACATGTGGTTGAAGTTTTGTGAGATTTCTAAGTATTTTCTCAAAGGTGAATTTCCTCAATGGATCTTTCACTTCTAAATACCAAATTAGGGAATTTTAAACTGTTTATAAAATGAATGAAAAGATTATAATTAAATTGACGGTAATGCTATCATGGCTACTATAGTCTGTGCAACTCTCTGACTATACCTTAGCAAGCCACCTTTTCAAGACCAAAATATGGCTCAATATGCCATAACTCAACACATTCCATGTCTCTTCTATCCAATTATTGTTTCATTATTTCTCATCCTAAAGTAGAAACAGTTGATAAGCTGAATTTTTTAATCTCAGTGAGTCCTTTTGAACACATAGAATCGCAAATGACTCAGAGTAGATCAAGGATATCACATTTTGCCCATATAACTCAGCCACATCATGTGAGAGTGATTAGTGGCTAATTTTTCTTTGTTTGGGGTAGAAAAATGGTTCACCAGAGACAGAACACCAAAGAAGACATAAATGGAAAATCTCAACAGTCAAATAAGAATTAAAATAGTTTCAAGGCACAAAATGTGATAGTTTTACACAAAACCAATTAGTGACATCAGCAGCAAAGTATCAATAGTAAAATTTTATAAAATATATTAAAAAATCTTTGTCTTGTTTTTTCCTAAGTAAAAAAGTGATTAAATGGAAGTATCCATTGGAAAACGAGGGACATATATTTCTTTACAGAAGTTTTAGGTTTTATGCTTCGTGTTTAGACCCTAAGTAGATTGAATGATGATCTTTCTAATTTTTTCTTCTTTTCACTTTTAGGAAGTTTTCTTTAAAGTATAGGTTAAATATTCTTATGATAATGAGTAGGAAAGAAGAAAATGTGTTTTTAGTTGGGATAAGTAACAGCCTTTATTTACATACAAAGGAAACTTTTGTTACAAATTCCAAAGGTATTCTTGTAACTCAGGCACAAATCAATAGAATATGAACATGCAGGTTACAGAAATATCTTATGCTACACTGGGAGTGTCACACATGCCTTTCTCATTCTAATTATATTGATAATTCTTTTTCTTTGCAACTTTGTAACACCTTTTTCAGGCTGTGAAGATACTGACCTGTGTGAGAATAGAATAGTTTCAAATGAAATGCAGTTATACCGGTCAAAGGTCCTCTAATGGAGTTACCAGACTTTATCTACTATGTCCTCTCCTGTGAAAGCACAACACAGCACTGTGAAGGTGACAAGAGCTCACTAAGTTTCTTTATCTTCATGTTGTATAAACAAATCCAAATGTTTCCAATAAAATCCATGATCTTGAGAATTGAGTTGTAACATTATTCACTCTTGATTTGCCTTGAAGTACAACTAAATTAGAAATTGAGAAGTAGAAGATTATATACAATAAAATAAAATTGTAACAATAAAAATGTAAAAGAAAACACAATAAAAGGTAGTTAATCTAACACAGGGAACTAATCCCCATAAATTCAGCTATAAAACTGTAGCTGTTCAGAAATATGACAAGACTTTCCATATGGTATTCGAATTTTTAAGTATTCAATCAAAGAGAGTATGATGGAGTAGATCACCAGGATTCAGGTGACCTGCTTTCTGATCTTGGTTTTGACACTTGTGTTTATGATTCTAGGCAAGTCACTTAACTGTTTGGAGGGTTTTCTTTACCTGTACTGTAGAGGGCAGCACTGCACAATCTTTAATGCTAAGTTCAGCTCTCGCTTCTGTTGTCCTTATACAACTGGATTCCACCAACTTAAAGGACAACAAAAAGCTTCACTTTATACCATTACCTGAATATGTCATTCAAATTTGAAAAGACAACACATTTTTATTACATCTTTTATATATTCTATTATGTGAAGCACCAACAATATAAAGCTTGCTTTTTGGTGAGTCGTATTGAAATTCCACTTTAAAAAAAACCTTTGGATCAGTGATGATTCTCATCAAGTAAAGACGTGGAGTGATCTATTTCTTGATTATATCTAGGTGTTTACATTCCATTTACAGTTGCAAAAGGCTTTAATGTCACGATGATGATGACAGTAAAAAGGGAAATATCATTGCACGCCACAGAGGAACATTGACAATAAAAAACTAGACCAATTAATATTTAATACTACATATATTTTAATTAAAGTAATTTAAAATACTTTTAGTAATTTTATAAAATAACTGCTTCCATTAAAATGGCAAGTGGAATGACAGGAAATAGAAGAAGAAAGATTATATATATTAAGAAATTTATTACAAAATTACTTTTCTTTCCTACAAGTTTAGAGAAATATTTTGGTCTAGCACTGTTCTTTTCATACCACAAAAGGGTCAGTAAGGACACATTTTGAAAGAAGGGATGGATTATTTATGTATTTTGGACTGCATTGATAATAGAATTTGGATTGCATTGATAAACAGAATTGTACAAAATATAAAACATATAAATCTTTTTTTATTTATTACCATAAATATGTAGTTCAAAATTGTTAGAGTTGATTTCTTGTTGTTAAATTTAAACTTAAGCATTATATGATTGAAATCAAGGAAATGAAAAATCAACAGCTATATTTGAGAAATTATTCATTTTAATCTAAATTTTTTGTTCCTTTCATATATCTGTATTTATGAAATAAATACTTAATTTATAAGAATGTATATTGAAATCCTCATTGAAATTTGTGTGGTATTTATACTTAGTTACATATATAATTGAGAATAAATGAATTAAACGAAAGCTATATTTGCTGTTTCAAATTGAGACTTTATTAAAGAAATCCAGGGGACATGATGGAGAAAAAAATGTGTTATTATAAATGTACCGAAAGTCTTAGGTGTTAATTATTTTGAACAGATGGACTCAGCATAGTTTTGGTTGGCCCACAGATGGAAATCAGATTTAGAAAGTCCACTCATGGAACCAGATATTAGACTGATAATGAAGAATTTTAGTAGAAGCTGGAGAATCCATATCCTCCGTAAAAAGATGGGCAGTAGAAGCCATATCCGTAGCCTCCATAGCCTGAGCCATAGCCCAGTCTGTGGAACCTGTCACATCCACAGTCACAGCCATAGCTCAGGCCGCTGAAGCCTCCATGGCCACAGCCCAGGCCTCTGTAATAGCTGCACGAGTAGCTCATGGTATCAGGGATTGAAGTCTTGGTTTGCTACTGAAGGTGTGTTTGCCGAGTATGAATCTCAACACCCATGCAGAAGTTTTTATACCCTAAGTTATGAGTGTGGTTAATCATTCAGATGTACCTCCTTTTCATTCCTCAGAAGAAATTTCATGAAACAAATATATTGGCTCTTTTGTTTAATATGCATAGAGTACTCTTCCCGCACAGTAAAACTGGCTTTTTTTTTTTTTTTTTTGGTGGAAGATTGGCCCTGAGTTAACATCCACTGCCAATCCTCCTCTTTTTTGCTGAGGAAGATTGGCCCTGATCTAACATCCATCTCATCTTCCTCTACTTTATATGTGGAATGCCTGCCACAGCGCAGCTTGATAAGTGGTGCATAGGTCCCCACGCGGGATCTGAACCAGTGATCCCCGGGCCACCGAAGCACAGCACACAAACTTAACCACTATCCCACCGGGCCATCCCCACAGTAAAACCTTTAAATGAATGTTTTGGCTCAGTTAGAATTCCTCTTCTTAAAGTGTGTCTATAATGAGAAATATTATTTGCAACTTCAAAGACTGTTCTTACATCAGAACTCGCATGAACTCCACCTCATTTAGGCTTCCAAGTATCTCTACCTACAGTTTAGTCAAATTATTGTCTGACAACATCATCAGATGATACTACTTTACTGCATGTGCTCTCTGTTTTTATTTTTCCATGAGGATGACTACCTCTTATTATTTGAGGTAAGCAGGGCTCTTTTTAAATCTTACATCCAGGCCTTATTTGAAATGGTAATCACTTAGATGTCAAATATGTAAAAGAATTGAGATACAGACCACTTTTACTTGACTTTGTGCAATTTGAGGACCACATGGAACCAATCATGTTGATGGTGTCTCTCATGTTTTATCTATCTTAGATTATTTCTTAATTTTTAACAGACAATATGTAAAATCTAGATACCTCCTTAAGGAAGGCACTTCCAAACTTGAGAAAAGATAAAAAGAGGGAGAGAAAAAGAGAGAACAAAACAAATAAATGTTCCTTGTCCCTTATAGTAAGTTGTTCAAAATTGGTGGAGCCCCAATTAAATAAATGTTCATACTCCTTTACACTGATGATGTCAAAAAGATCAACAGGAATTTTGGCAATTTAGGACTGCTTTCTGGGATCCAGGATTATGACATGATGCTGGAAAGGAATAAATGACAAGAATTGGGGAGAGGAACACAAATATAGACAATGTACGTCATAGTGATTTCTCTCAGAGATTAATCCAAGGATATCTTTGATATTGTGTCGTTTTTAAAATTTAGACACTTATTTTAAATTTATTACCCTAAAGGATGCGCAAGTTGAAGAACTATTTGTTAAGGGTTTACACATAATACCAATGAAGTGTTTGTTATTCCATTGCCCAATATTCATGTGTTTCATTTTTGGGAACCTGCTACTTAATGACTAAGAGCATACTTAAAGTTCTTTTGAGGAGAGATTACCACATAGCTTCAAGATAATTATGGTTATTTAAAAAGTCACAAAATACTCCATACCGTTGCTTTATTCTACAATCTCAATTTTGGATTCTATCAAGCTATACCAATACTATAGTGTATGTATATTGACCAAACGATCAAAACATTAGTACTGTTTCCACCCAGGCAGGACTAATACAATAGAAAATAAACTAACCTGATTTTCTAAAGACTTTCTTAGTACCAAGTGAGATAGAAATCAAATTCTCTGATTCTCTGATTTCTGCGCTGGAATATTCTCATGCTACATGGAAGAAGGCAACAAAGTCCTCAAACTGAAAAGCTTACTAAAGCTGACATGAGAAGTGAAAACTTTAAAGATTATATCTATTACAAAATTTATATTAAAATAAAAAGCAGACTTCTAACAAAGAAAACTCCACATCCATATTGTTTCAGTGGTGAATTTTAGCGACTATTTAAATAGTAGTAATTATTGCAAGAAATAATATTAATTTTACACTCTTTCAAAAAACAAACTCAATCTACACATCCATGATGCAATTATATATAAGAAATTAAAAAACAAACTTCAAAAAAATTATTAATAATATTATCAGAAAATATAAAATATCAATAATTTTAAAGAAAGATGTGTAAGACCCAGTCCTTGATAACTACAAATTAATGCTGAAAGAAATTAATAGACATTTATATATATATTATATATATGTATTTTATATATAAATAAAATAAATCCATATATATTTAACGCTTATGTATTGACACTAGACTGAATATGATCCAAATTATATGTTAATAAAGTTCTAATCAAAATACCAGAATGATGTATTTATTTACAAAAGATTCTAAAATGTCTAAGGAAATCCAAAGGACTTAGGATATCCTATGCAATATTTTAAAACAAACAAAAAGAAAAGTTGCATTAACTGATTTCAAGACTTCTTAAACTAGAATAATCAAGAAAGTGTGATATTAGTGTGAGGATACGCAAATAAGTCAATAGGAAATATTAGGGAATCGAGAATTCAGCGTTTTGTTCTACAAAGATTCCAAGGCAAAAAAGAGCTTATCATCAAATGGTACTGACACAATGGAAATTAACATGGAACATGAAAAAAATGACCTTAGTTTATTTATTACGCACACAAACATTATTTCAAAATCTATTATAGACCTGATCATAAAAGCTAAAACTCTAAAGCTTCTAGAAGTTTTTTTGTTTTGTTTTAAGACACAGAATGCACTGACTGTAAAATAAAACACTTTGAAATGGACTTCATCGATAACAAGCCACAGATTGGAAAAAATTATATAGAGATATATATGTAGAATAGATTATATAGATAAGTATAGATATAGATTAGATATAGAGAAAATAGGTAGAGAAAGGTAGATAGATCCAGCATCTATAAAGATCTCCTACAACTTGAATGTCCAAAGATAAACAACCCCCAAGACCTGGGCACATTGAGAGGAAGACACACAAATTTTAAATAAGCAAATAAGGTGTTCCACATCATTAGTTACCAGAGTTATCAGGAAAACACAAATTAAAACCACAATTATATAACACTACTTACCCACCAGACTCGCTAAAATTAGAAAAGAAAGCATGTTATATTTTTCTTACTTAATGGATTTTAACTTAGATTGATTGTGATTTATGTAAAATTTCCTATCAGGTTAATTTAGAAACATTTCTAATTTACATTAGTGTGACTTTCAATTCAATTTTCAATATAATGTCTCAATTGGAATTACGGCCTTTTGATAGATTCCCAGGAGAGTAAGTCTAAGGTTCTGGTACATAGTACCATACTTCAAAAGATTCTGCTAACATGCTTAATTTAAAACAATAAAAAAGTGGAAATAATAAAGCTTTAGGGGAAGAAAATCAGTCCCCAAAAGCTGTGACTGATGAGCAGATTAAGTAGTCCTAGCCCTACAAATAAATCATGAGGCAGTTTGTCCAAAGACAATAAATGACGGAGTCTGTGTTATGGGATCGGTAGACTTTTTGGCTCAGTGGTTCAATATGAAGTTCTCACACAGCTCCTTGATATCAATTTCCCTTCAGTGATTCAGAATACTGTGGATATAACCAGAAGCTAAATGGCCAAATAAAGTTATAATCAAGATTACTTGTAATCAGAATCTCAGCCCAGGGATTTCAGCATCCAAAATTATTGCCGTAAGTTAGAGTTCACACCAATATAAATTTTGATTAAGAATCCAAAAAGTCATCTAAGCCATATTTACTGGCTAATAAGTACCTTCAGTGATGACTGATAAGCCTACTTGGGACTGGAAGTCTGGATTCTGACTCACAAATACAAAATAGGAAAGAATAGCCAACTGAGAAGGACCAGCAATCTCTCCCTCTCAAACTTAATTTATGATATTTGTTTTTCACTGATTTAATAGGGATAGATGGTCTCCCCAAGAAGAGAAACAGTTGCCTTCATTTCAAATGACACAAACAAGGGAAGCTTATTAAGATAAATGACTAAAGCTAAGACCTTATTGTAATGTCATATTAAAATATTGATTGGAAAATGATTATAGAGATCTCTCCCAGTGTAAAATACACTAAAGAAATTTCAGATGAAAAATTCGTATCTTGAGAGTGAAAGGAGAAATAACTGTTGTGGTGAAATAGCCAATATTTATCAAATAAATCCAAATTGCTATTGAACAGCTATACACATACAGACAGCTCTTAAATCTAATGTCAACAAGCTTGTAAGCCTGTAATTCATCTTCTCTGCTTGTTATAAGCTAGAAATAGATTTGATTGTATAAAATACTTGAAAAGTTGGATATTTGTTTTGTATCCTTCTCCCAAGAATCTTAGGTCTTAAAACTTAGTAGAAGCCAGAGGTCCAGCATCTTCCATAAGACATTGGACAGCAGCGTTCATATCCACAACCACCATAATCAGAGTCATTTATAGCTTGTCCTTGAGAGCTGCCACATCCACAGTCATAGCAACAGTCCTAGCCATCAAAGCAGAGCCCAGGTCTCTGAGGTAGTTGCCCATTAGCTCACTGTATAAAGAGTTGAGGTTTGATGTTGAAAGACATTTAAACTTCTTTAGTGGTATGTGTAACAAGTCTTAGGTACTCTATGCATAATATTTATATCAAATGTCATATGTGAAAAAACCTCAGCAATTTCTTTTCTCTTATATAAGAAGAGTGCCTCACATATATTAAAACTAAGCTTGTTTTGGTAGATCAATCAATATTTCCCAATTAGTGCTATCAAGTTTTAATTCTGTTTACCACATATTCACCTTGAGTACAGATTTCATACTTATGTCTTCAAGGGCTTCATGATAACATGTTTTTAAATAATATTGTATTTTTTTCTGATATATATCTTCAGCCAGTCTAACAAAGCAGATGGCAAGAATATCACGCTGCTGGTATTGGGGAGATTTTGGGCTCATCCCATGAACGATATTATCATTTTGTTTTCAGAAAAAAATCTATGGTTCCATTTAAACAC